GTATTATATAGTCAGTATTGATAGTATTTACTATTCAATTAATATTGTTATTGAATATTTGGTTATTTTGTAATTTGTATCATTATTCATTCCAATCATTCCATGATAGTGTAATCAATATGCAACAGTGTTCTGAATTTTGTTATTGAAAATATTTTATTCTTATATACTAGTCAAAATGTGATGAAATAATATGTATAAAAGATAGTAAAATAGAGAACATAATAAAATATTTAATATTGTGTAATATGGTGTAAAATATGTCTACTGATTACTATGTATGTAAGTAGGAGATAGTTGTCGAGCGATGTGAGAACATTTTTTTGAGTTTGCACATTAGTGAATTTCACCCCACTTTATTATTTTGTTAGAGACGGCTGTGCTCCTAGGTCACCTGATCTACACCGTTTGATTTTTTTTTGTGCTGATACTTGAAAAATATTGTGTATACTGATCATCTAATCAACATTCAAGATTTGAAGAGTAAAATTACACTTGCACGTAACCTCTTAAATGAAAATCAAATACTGCCAGCAACTACTCGTGAATGTTTGCGTCAATTTGAGGCATGCACTCTACAGAACAGAGGGACTTTTGAACAGTTTATTGAATAGTTTATGTTTGTTATTTCTGTAAATTAAATTGTAAATTAAAATCTATGGCATTGTTGAAAAAAAAATAAAATAGAAATTTAGAATTTTATTTCCTGAAAATACATGTTTAAATTATGTTATTTCATAATGTGTATTGTATTACAATAAAGTAAAATAATAATACATAAATAGTAAATAATTTATTACTCCAATAGTAATAATTTTGATTGCATCTCTGTGTTCAGAAAGAAATAATTTGTAGGTACAATGAAAGAAAAAATATTCAAACTTAGGACAATTTCGAGTTTACCATACAAGTTGATAAATCAAAATAAGGGTTGCCATTTAAAAAAAAAAAATGAAGTTTTGTTGCTCATGCACAAAATATAGTTTTAGAGTTAAAAAAATGTTAAGTCATAGGAATATATGATCCGTTAGTCTAGTTTAATGCCCTGAAAACAGAATTGAAAGATATTTACAGGGCAATGAGTGATAGTGTACTCTGTTTCTTGGGATATGTGGCATATACTTAGATACCTACTTAACTTATTAGTTATACTCATACATACCTACAAGTACATTTGTAATTTACTATTAAGTTTAAGAACTTAATATTGGATATCATTTTTTTCATCTATATTTATAATTTTTTTTAACAAATTATTATATTATACGATTAACTTCGATATTCGATAACGATCACTAATTGGCAGCATACTCACTAAAAAAAAAAATTTAATTTTAATTATTTACATATCTGTGTAAAATGGATCTCGAAAGGAACAAAAAATGTCCAAAAATCTGTTCCTTCTGTACACTGTATTTAGGTACATACTAAAATTAATATTAGATATTTCTAAAAACATCTTCTTTACTTGGTTTATACCCTAATACCAATACCAATGATGGATTTAAAAAAATACTATACCTATATTCAATTTGAAAATTATATTTACATTTTTCAGACAGAAGAACAAGAAGTTATTACTTTCCTTCTGACAACTGAAATTATTCCGTTGTGTCTACGTATTATGGAAACAGGTTTTGAATTAACTAAAACATTATCAACTTTTATACTGCAAAAAATACTTATGGATGACAATGGTCTAAGTTACATATGTCAAACGTATGATCGGTTTTCTCACGTTGCTCTCATACTTGTAAGTATTTTTACTGCAAAATCAACAAAAATTCTTATCATTTTTCAATTGAATTTTCAGGGAAAAATGGTCTTGGCACTTGAAAGAGAACCATCTACTAGACTACTGAGACATGTTGTGGGATGTTATGTTCGTTTGTCAGAAAACTCAAGGTATATATAATTGTATATTTTTTTAAACCATAAATAGGTGAATCAGGTTTTTTCAAAAATTAATATTTCTGTGCATTGTATTATATATATAATATTACAATAAGTAAAATAATTGAGCATTGTTTATGTTTTTCATAATATTTCAAAGAATCAATTTACATGTCTAGTATGTATACATCCTACCTAAAAGGTTAGCTTAATTATATCCCAAAAATATTTGTCTATAGGTGTGAATTAGTGACTAAATTATTGTTCAATAATATAAGTCTGTCATCAATATAAGATCCTATTAAATTGAGAATTGACTAACTCTTATAGTACATAATAAAGCTCTACACAGTGAAGAAGATGGATGAGTAGTGATATGTTCAGTCTGTATAGGTTATAAAATGGTTTGTGTTTGTAACTAAACGTGCTATGACCTAATAAATAAATAAACTCATAAAAAAAAATTATTTTTTTACAGAGCTCGTGAAGCACTTCGACAATGTTTACCTGAACAATTAAAAGATATGTCGACCTTTTCTGATTGTCTCGCCAGGGATCAAACAATCGCTGCTTGGTTATTATTGTTGAAAAATAATTTGGAGTCTGTTATGCCTATTGACGTATCTCCTGGTGTTCCATCTCTTGTCAAGCCATAATATAATAGCATTTAAAATGTTAATTATTCAAACAAAAATCATATGTCTTTTGATTACCATATCAATTTGATATTAGTTAGTAGCGAATGACAATGTACTTATCTCTCGACTTTTATTGTTACTTGGGTGGGAAGGGGATTAAATAATAATAATAAAGTAACTTGAGTCTGACTTATTATTATTTTTTTTAATGAAAAACATTTAAATCTCTCTAATAATGCCAATAACAATAATAATAACTATTAAAGGGGGACAGAGTGGCCAAGTGGATAACGCGTTGGTTGCAACGCGCACCGTCGCTGGTTCAAACCTTGGTCACAGGCAGCACTTCTCTCCGGGCAGTCACGGTGTCGGGAGAGAGAGGCTGCCATCCCCCAACCGGGCATGGCAGAAACCTACGGGTGCCCACTAGAAATTCTGCCAAATAAACACACACATGTTCCATAACCCTACAGTTTATACCCTATTACGTATTAGTCACTCAATAACGAAACTATATTTTATGTTTCATAATACAATTTACGTGTTATCGTATCTATTACATAGGTATATAAACTATAAAAATAATCGGCAATAATGCCGACATTTCCAAGAACGATTACATTCTTTCATTATTTGTAAAAATAATGATGTGTTTGATATATAATATTATATAGGTATATTGTATATACCTTTATATATAAATAATTAAAATTTTGTTTTTTTTAAACCCTCTCTATTACGAAAACTCTCTATAACGAAAGAAATCTCTTGGTCCCTTCAGATTCGTTACAAAGAGTTTTGACTGTATTAATTACACCTAGATGAAAAATTTTTTTCAAATTGACCGACGATATTGTAAATTTGTTGCAGATACTTTTTCAGTCCATTAGATAGGTACAGGATTTGCAAATAGATACTTTTATAACAATTAATCTTTTAACTCAAAATGTTTACTCTAAAACAACATGTATGGTGTTTACTCCTTACCAAAGTAAAATCCTTGAGTGCTATCGGGTATCTTAATCACATTAACTCGTATTGTTATTATAATCAATGACGTAACTAGGGGGTGGGTCCAGGGGCCTGCCCTATTGCAAAATAAACAAGAGATATTTTGAATGCAAAAATGATGTGTCCAGTATCTATATAAAAAAATTTGGACCCCTGAAATTACTTTTAGTTACGGCATTAAGGGTACTTAAGTTTCTAGTTATAAGTTTAGTGTAATCGTTGAGTCTGTAACAATCTGCTAAATGACAACCCAAAGTATGATTCATTTTTGTATTGAAAATTAATTTTTATACATTTTTGTTAATGATCATTTATTGGCCTAAATAAAAAATATGCTGTGTAGTCACTCCGCTAGATAGTAATATTTATTATATATAATATTACTAACTGTTATTATGTTAATAGTAGAACATCATGAGGTAAGCATGAACTGGACCTCAGGCACAAAGTGTGCACGTAAAAGTATAATTTAATTCTAAAGTATCAAAGTTATACCTACTTGTATTTAAATTATACAAAATTGCAAGCCTCAAGTTATCCTATCTAATAACCTTAAGCTTTTAGATGACAATGGTTAAAAAATCGTCAGGAATTTTTTTACTAAGTTATATCTGATAGTTGCCATTCGTTATAGAAAAAACTTTTCTCTAACTTTTCTGCTGGACTGTTGGCACCAAGACTGTCATTTCATCACTACCACACATTCCTCTCAGAACTGCAACTTTATAGAGTAAATGTATGCCTATAAACCTACTCTGCAATGCCATCTTTTATTTTAAAAAATGATGAATGAAATAAGTAAAGGAGTTATCAAGTGGTGTTGTGAAAAAGGGATAGGGTCAATTTTTATATAAGTAGATAGAAGACATATTATATTGGTAAGAAACTTGTTATTTTTTGTTCAATACCTAATTTTATAACATTTGTTCTTGTCTATAAAATAAAATGTCACAAAATTGTGCTGATGTATTTGTTAGATTATTAGGTTTCTATAAGAATAAAGTTGATCTCTTAAAATATTTTTGAGCTTTATGTATTAAAATTAAAAATTGTATACATTTTTTAACTACGAAATATTGTAAAACTAATACATTCATCAAGGTAAGATTCAATGTTAGTATAAGCATTTTAATTTAATTTTTCTTTTATCATTTTAAAATGCTCATAACTTCCTTCAACATAAAAATATCAAAAGCCTACTTGAGGCTTGGATAATATTCTTACATTTAAAATTCATTATAGATCAATTCACTCTCGTCCTAAAAATGATAGTGAATGTAAAATTAGCTGTTCTAGTTGGACATCACCTTAAAAATGTAATTCATACAATACTTTTTCACAAAATCGAACAGTAAAATGTTGTTTTTAGGTTATAACTTATAACTTACAATCAAATTCTACCATTAATTATGAATATTCATTGCTTTTACTATTTTTGTATTTTCAGACAAAACAAAATAATCATAAGAATATGCTCTATTTTTTAACAATTTATTAATACATGACTTATTAGTTATTGTTTTAAAGACTGTTGTATTTGAGTGTAATTATCCCGCTTGGCTAATGGTTTGTATTTAGGATTAAGTGTATAATAAATAAATAGCATAGCAGCTGACAATCTGATTACGGAGTCGTTGTCTATATAATCTTTAATCCAATCCACACGTCCCCATTTTGTGCACTATAAATTTAACACAAAAGTTTTATTACAAGCAAACGGATATTTTTAATAAATAAGTTTAATTTATGCTAAAAAGTTACTTGATATTCTTCTTCCATTTTAGATAATAGAACAGCATCTTTTACAGAAATATCTTGATGCAAGCAACATACAGTAAGTACCAATGATTTTAAAGTTTCAACAGCATGTAAAACACCTTAAGTTAAGAAAGTAATATATATCAAATTATGGATACTACATTGCTTAAAAATATATTATATACTATACATACCATGAAGAGCAGGGAATCCAAGCGATAAAAAATATTTTTCAACTAAGGCCTTAGTTTGTGCATCAAGACTTTCAACATAAATACCTTTGGATGGTTTTAAATTGGTATCAAAATATCCATTAAACTTTTGAATTAGTGGCATCCATTTTTCCATCAATACTTTTTCTAGCTCGTTATCAGCCTATTTAAGCAGTATACATTTTAAAATAATAAGCAAGAACTCAATATGATAAAAAGTTCATTACATCAGAAATGAAGAAGACTGTGTCAGTCTCCAGATAAGACAATATTTGTTGTACCACTTCATGCTCTGAAAGATCGCTAGGATTGTCAACTGCCAAAAAACACAACTTTGTCTAAAAAAAAAATAAACATAAAACATTTGAAACATTATAATTTACATTATTATACCAAATGCATAGGATCTGTTTTAATATGTTCTTTCTGCATTTCCCATTCTTCGGCAACAGCAAGAGCCAAAGCCTTATTATTTATTATAAGTTCTTTACCTAATGGTGTTTTTAATTTGCTACTGTCAAGTAATACTCCATAAGAGTCACTATTTTCAATAATTGAAGTAGTTTTATAAAATTTATCTAAAAATTAAATTAATACATTAATATACATACATTATTTGTTATTCAATTAATACTTAAATATTGAACTTAAACAAATAGCCTTATTTTGTTTATTTAAAGGTTAGAAATAATATAGAGCATAATACCTATAGGTACTCATTTAAAACTCGACAACAGTTGGTAAATGCATAATATTGCTAAAAATTAATTACAGCTCAAATATCAAAGTAAAGTAAACTAAGTAGGTATATTACTGATTTATGTTTGATTATTAATTAGAGGCACAACCTACAAATACACTAAGTTATAAATTACTGCCAATACTTTTGTTTGTACTAAAAACTAAATGAAAATGATGACTAATGAAAAGTGACTACTAAAAAAATATACTTATCAATCCACACAATCTGTAGTTTTTAGTTGTTAATTATTGTATATATGCAGTCAACAATTTGTAATAAATATGTTAGTAATCCATACTTATCTCAACCAAAAAATTTAATTTTTAATTGCTTCTGTATTGGGGAAGCAATGACACATTTATCAGAGTTGTATGGTTAATTTAAAATAAATACTTTTTTTGCCTAAATTATTAACTTTTGGTACCTAACTATTTTATTTAGTGAGTATCATTAATGGATGGCTTCTCACAACCTGTGTATTCATGTAAATATATGTTTAGGTTAGTATTTTGTACTAATGTTAATTGTATATGTTGTATCTCTCATCACATGTACTCATCGTGCCTCATAGGTACAGATTGTTTATTCCAAATAAAGAAAAAAAGAAAAACTATTTTATATGAATAATTAATGTCATTATTAAAAAATTGAATTATTTATTTCCATTTATAGCATTGTAATGATTGTGTGAATCTTGGTTATGTACGTTTTGACAAGATATGATTAGAGAAAATATGTACTCTAGAATTTACAAGATTAAACACAACATCCACCATAAATCTTCCTCCAAAAATAAACATTCAGAAAGGAGTAAAAAAAATTAAGCCATGTACACTTAATGACAAATTAAAAGCTAAATCTTTTGTTTTCGACAAAACAATAGTAATCATTCACTGTAAACAATCATATTTAATTAATATTGGTAGCATTTTCAAATATGAAACATAACTTACATGTCATAAACAGTTATAGTACCTACTTATTATTAAATGGCAAAATATGCCATTGGACTTTTTTTCATAACTATATATATATTAAATAAGTAGGTAGTTCTTTGAAAAATACTGGAACTTTTTCACATACTTCTTCATTAAAATTTTTATTTATTAAAAATAAAATGTGATTTAATGTGCCAATTAATTTAACTATTGATTAAAACTATAAGTATAAATAGCTTTATCCAAAATATTGTCAAATTAAGTAGCAATCACTATAAACAATAATAAAAAAGTATACATAATTAAATTTATTTGGGAACTATAGTTAATTGGTTTTATATTTATTTCCTGATGGATATGAAATCAAAATCTAGGTACTTATCAGGTATCTAATAAATTAAAATAATACATTAAAAATATTAATTTATTTAACTTACTGATGGCATAAAACCTGCGTGCAAATGATGAAATTTTTGTGAAATTATGTGGTTTATATTTTATCTGGATTTGGTTTCTTGCTATGGGTCTTAAACACTGTACAATTTGGAACATTTTTTTTTAATTCTGAAAGATAAAATATGGATACAATTAATAACATTTAGTTTTAGTAGTGATCATTTGATTAACATTAAATCATTTTTAATTCTAAATGTTAATTATTTAAAAGTTAAAACAGTTAAAAAAATAAAAAGTCCTAAACAATTTTTTTATTTCTAAAACAATAATTTATCAATTTCTTTATAATAACCACAATTTTAGCATTTAACTGCTGAAGAACATTTTTAAGTGGCAAATCCACAATGGCAATACATGAAGGATTGTGTTGAGTGTTTGCAATGTAGCAGCAGGTATAACTGTTACAGACGTATTTGCCTTTAATAGAGCGGGACAGTGAGCAGAGCGACGGATTTCAACTAGGACAAAAATAAAATACAGCCTAGATATAACAAGATAATAGTTACCTGCAATACTAAAATATTTAATAAACAAATTAGTTGGGTACTGAAAACAAATACTATTTTCTGAAAATTATAACATTTTTATCTAAATATTTTGTGTCTATGATAAATTGATAACTACTGATAAGTGATAACAACTGTCCAATTAATTATCAAAGATAAGGTTCATGGATTTATGTTACATACAAATCAAGACATCAAGTACATTAATTTCATACTTTTAAAAGTTCATGATTCATAACGTAGGTACTATGACTACTTAGTAGTTAGTACTAGCTAGAGGGTGTATTTTTAAATATAATTTTCAATTTTTAATTATTTCTTTGCCGGTCTCATGATTTTTAAATAGTTAAAATCGTTATTCTTGGTTTTAATATGTAATTTCGTCCAAATTTGAACTTAAAAAGTTAATAAAAAATAACTGTGTTGATGTATTTTTTAGATTTGAAGTAACATAAGATTCTATACATACGTTTTGCTTATATAAATAATAAAAAAAATTGATTGTCATTTAAAAAATATTTTTAGTGAGCCTGAAGTTAAATGTTGACCAAGTTTGATGTTCACGCTTAAAGATTTTAGTTTTTATTGTTGTAATTTAAAAAACACCTACCAATAAACCATATAAACTTGAAACATTCAACTTTTGTTAAATTATCATTTTTCATACTCAATAAAATGATTTTATATTTTTATATGTTTATTTAAATTTAATTTTTTTAGGCTATTCACTTTATAATCCATGTAAATACTATACAACTTCGTTAAAATTATGAACTTGAAAATTAACTAAATATGAACAATCATAAACATGTCTTAAAGTAATGTGTTTTCTTCTGTAGCTGTATGGTCTTGATACTAATTAATATAATGCATTTTATCAATTAATACAATAATACATAGGATAAGTAAATTTTTATATGTAACAGCCATAAGCGTGCTCACGGGGGGGGGGGGGCAGGTGAGCCATGGCTCCTCCCGTAAGCTGCGAGTGATGCTGTACCACAAGGTGGTTGACCCTTATATGCTATCTGCCATAAAATGTAACAACCCTTCTCATTGCTATTGATAAAATAACTAATTCTACCACTCAAGCAGGTATTCAAGCAAAGAGTTTATGCATACTTTCTTATATGAAAAGTATTGAGATTGTATGTCTTAGAAATACTTGACCCCATAATTTCTCTAATATTGAAAACCAGTTCATATTTGCAATCACCTGATATAAATTTGGTAACGGCAATGCAACTTGTTCAAGCCTTAAAAAATTACTACGTTTTTTTCCTACATTAAATACGCCCTTGATACAAATTTAACATTAGCTTAGCCCCCCTGCCACAAACGTCCGCACACGCCTATGGTAACAGCTCTTTTTGATTTTAAAGTGTGAAAGAATGTTACGAGAAAGAGTAAATGACTCAGGACAAACAGAACTTATATTAAATAATAACACATTATTATTGAGTGATACAATTAATCTTAACTTTTATTTTATGAAAAAATGAAGTACAATAATATTATTATAGTGTATATTTATTTTTATAAAACTATATAAAATATTATGACCAGTCTAGAAAAAAAAATACATTTATGGATAAAATAAACATAGGGTAAAAATGTAATACATTGTCATTTAAAAATAATTAAATAGTACATTTTAATATTAATAAAATAGGAAAAAATAAAAATTATATCGATATGTACGATATATTTATTAGATTTTTAAAAAATAATTTATCATAACCACAATGTTACCAGCATTAAATTTATATGATAATTATATTAAATGATAATAAACTGGCTGTATAATAAACTACGTATTTGATAGTATTGACGGCTAATAATTCCTTCCATCAAAACCTTTCCTGAAGAATTCTATAAAAGAACAAAAATATTTAAATAAATAATCATCAAATAATAAATCTATATAAAAAATTCAAGAAACATTATAATATGTTTAAAATTAAAATATTTGTAAAGAAAAATAACTGAATTATATCATTACCAAAACGGCAAAACTTAATATAACATAGTCAGTTAACTTTCCAAAAAGTACATTTTTCATTTCACAATATTTTGAAAACTATAGTTGTTAAGAGGAAGTCAATACTGGAGTCTCTATCTATAAACATATAACCCAGCAAAATTTCATTCAGCAGAACCAATTTTATGTTGTTAGTATAAATATAGGAATGGAGCAACCTATTAAAAACTTTAAGGTAATATATATGAATTAATTAATATTTTAGTTTAAAGCGAAATATTTCAATTTTAAAAAACTCAAAAATAGTTTTACAATTTAAATAACAAAAAATCCAATGAAAAAATAAAGATTCCTTAAATAATATTATTACCCTTAAGTTTAATGGATCAATTCAGTCTAATTTTAAATCTAATGAAACAAAGTTAGTTCTGTTGAACACAAATTTGGTATGTTGTATGTCTAAAAAATATTTAATATGCATTACAATTTACAATTATAGTTAAATAGGTTTAGATACTTCTCCCTGTCTCTCATTCTGTAATAAAATACATGTATAATGATTTCTTTTATGGAATATTCAATTTAATAAAGGTTTTTTTTTTAACAAAATTGTATATTACGCCATCTGTTACAATATTGAACAATAAGCTTAAGTGGTATCATAAAACAAAACAGACAGAAGAGGCCTCCCATTGAAGGTACTTCAACTTAAAATATAGGTAATAATAATTGATGCTTAAAAATAATTAGTGTTGAATCATTTTATTACACCGTTGCATACGAGCAAAGAATTAATGTGGATATAAAGATATATTTGTGCGAGTATGTAATATTATCATTATCTACTTTGAATCATGTGGTTAAAAACCAGTCAATGATTAGACTTATCTTCTAAGTGTCTTAGTAAGTGAGCTTTAATAATTACTGTAAAATAATATGAAATGTAATGTGAATATCTAAGTTTTATTTTGAACTGCTGAACATTCATTTATTGAAATCTCAACAGACGCTGTACTTGATGAATTATCAAAATCATCAAGACAAATTAATATAAAGATGTTGTTAGAGCATAAAATATACTTTTCTTTGAATTAATTGTGCCATGACATTTAAGAATTTTTTTTATACATATAAATGGTAATCACCCCCTCATGAACAGTTTCTGAGTACGCCAATGATATTAAGTACAATTAGAATGTGATGGATAAATATTGTTTAATGTATTATAAATTGTTTTACATGTTTAAAAAGCAAATATAGAAGATATTTTAATTCATAATACAATTTAATACTCACTCTACGAACACATATAGTTCGATTACAGCACCATAAAACACCTTTAGAAAGTTCACAAGATATATGATTTTTGGATAAAATTTGTTTAAAATCTGAAAGTTTTAAACGGTTGATAAACACGGTCTTGCGTGGCTGAATTTCCTACAAATAAAATGTTTGTATGTATTATACACAAATGATTATTTTTTAAGGATAAAAATAATTGTAGGAAGAACTTACATGTTCCGCTAAAGGTTCAAGTGTATATATTTGATCATCTATTCTTGGCACTATGAATACAAAAAGATAATAATAATAGAATGTCCTAATTAATGTACTTAAGAAAATAAAAACAAATATTTACTCTTTTCAGATACAACATTGTCAACTTCCATAACATTATCACGACTTTTCAATTTTAATTTGGCATTCATGTAAGCAAGATCACCATTTGGTCCTTTTTTAAAATTAATTTTGGAAAGAAGTGCATCGGTTAAACGTACCTAAATTTATCATATTAAGAAATTTTTTTGTTGAAAAAAATTAAATCACACATAATAAAGATTTGTTTTTACTTGGTATATATGAGATTCAGTTGTTACGTTCAAACATTGTCCAATTCTAGGTGTGAAAACTTTACCATCTATAAATACTTTAGCAAAGTTGTAAACAACTTTAGTACTATATGGGTTGCCTCTTACTAATATCAAACGTCTAGGTTTTAATGCAAGTACAATTTGTTTTATTGATTCTCCGTCTGAACGACCTTCAAAATCAATTTGTACAATTTTGGCTGCCACATAAATGTTCTGTTCATACTCCACACACTTGGATGGAAGGTCATATGAATCTTCTTCTTCATCTTCATCACTTATTTTACTTTGTTCATCTACGGTTGGTTTGTCTCCCGGCGTTGCATCAAATTTAATAAAATCTTCTTGTCTAAAATTAAATATGAATATAGGTAGATAAAAAAATTTTATTCTAAAAATAAAGACACAATCATACTTTATAATTTCACCATATGGGTCAAATTTGGATTTTTCTTCGTAATAAGGAAACATAGGAGGAAATTCTTTTTTTGAAGATTTTTTGGAGTTTAATGTATCGGCATCTACTAATAAGTCATATTTGCCTCTCATAGCCTCTTGCTCATCTTCAGAATCAGAACTTACAGGGTCGCTAATAAAATTTATGTTTTTATCATATACTTTAATGTAAGTAGTAACTATTTTATACTAGAAAATACAGTAATGATATATTAATTTTTAAATCTTAATAAAAAATTACGTTTTACTGGCTTCCATTTTTTCTTCATTATGTTTTAAATTATATTCTTCCAACTCGTTGTCATCTAAAGGTACACGTTTCTTGACAAGCAGTTTAATATTTCTATTGCCACCCTCATCAATTAAATCACGAGCTAATGTACCAGGAGCAGTTCTGTAACAAGTTCAAAGAATTAACATTGTTGGTTCATAAACATTATACTGTGGGTAATATAAAATTACCTGTCTGCAAGAATAATACTGTTTTTTGGGTTTGAAGCCCACATAATAAAAACTTCTCTTGAAAATCCACTTTCAAGATCTCCATTACTAGCTAATACAACCTAAATATTTAAGAATTGAATAACAATGTTATAATTTAATAAATAATGATATAAGAAAAAAATATTTTAGAACAAAACTCTAGTATCCGCCATTTTAAATACAAAAGAATCATTGTTAAAAAATACTTTTTATACCTTGTGGCTTTAAAGGGAAGTCACTTTTATATATATATAAAAAAACAGTTAATTATTTTGTTTTAATGTAACTATGATAAAATTATTGAATAGAGTATATGGTTTCGAAATAAAGTAAATGCATATTCATCATAAAAAAATCAATTTTGATTTTATAATAATTAGCAGATGAATATAACAAACAATTTTACCATGTCAAGTAGAAAACGTTCTATCATTGAATCTTGTCGCATTATATTTTAAAAGTTTTGCACCACAGTCAACAATAGCTCAGTAGCATTGAAAATGTAAAAATAGTGTGACACAAAATACTAGGTTTAACATTTTCATTAATTTGCACAGTCCTATTTGTTTCTTAATATTCAGAGTTTAGTATTTAAAAAAATATTGGGTAAATAACTATGACTTTTAAATACAAACAAAATAGTATACTACTAGTATAAACTGTTAATATTCTCATACTTTTTTGTCGTTGGTTATATTATTGTAATATTTATTTAATATAAAAAAAATATAATAACATACTTTTGGTTCAGAGACTTTGTTTAAATCATTCATGTTATGACATAGTTTTACATGCTTAAAAAAAAATGGATTATTCCTTGCACCTTCAAAACTTTTCATTAATTTATCACTCATCCACTCAATCTAAAAATGTATTTTATAAAAATCAAATTAACATAATAAAAATAATTTAAGTGGAAACTTACTTGAGACTTTGCAAATTCTACAGTATTGTAGCTGACATTTGTTAAAAATACTAATGAGTACACACCAAGACCAGATTCTTTATTACGCCACAGTTGGTCCAGCATATGCATCAATTCTAAAACACGCCCGGCTGTATCAATTGCCATCAAAACATTGCCTTTGACACGTAATGTTGTCAATATACAAGCTGAAAAATAAGCATAATTTTAAAACTATGAATATTATGACCAAGTATTGAACTAACTCATTAAAGCTTCATCACGAGATCTACGCCTGGGTTGTGAGTATGCAGCATTAAAACAATCCAATATCAGTAATGAAGGTCTTCCAAGCCTTTCTAAGTCGCTGCCATTCAAATGTCTTTCTTTTTTATGATTAAAATCTACAGCATAGACAATATCCTCTTCACCGACCTTAGATATTCTCCAAATTGTACCGCCAACCATATGGCCAGCAGGCAATGCTACTATTCTTAAACCAATTCCTTTACCTAAATTCATTGATGGGAAACAATATAATTGACTGAACTGACAAAATACACAATTTACAATAATTTAAATGGTGTATACTATATATTAACATTTTATTCTTTATAGTTTATAATACGCATATGAATATTTGATCAGAATTATAGTCTATTTGAATGATTTCTTAATGTACAACTTAAAGGTATTTTAAGAAACCATTCAAATAGACTAGGTAAAAACTATTTAATGTTGATTATGCTCTACATCGATCACTATGTATTGTGTTTGCAGTTCTCGGTAGGTCAATACAATTTTATCAGCAGACAAATAACATGCGTAGATGCCAATGAACCGTTACCTAATTCTGTAACCTACATCTTTTCTAGTACAGCATATAATGGAAAAATGTAGGAAAAAATATGTATAAGTGTAAAATGACAAATAAGTAGAGAAATCCAGAGACAAATTTCCAGTAGGTAGAAATGTGTCCAGGTTACCCACAAAATATATTGAAATATTATATTATAGGTGCATCAAAAATGTAATTAATAAATTAGGTAAAATCAAAATGAATTAAAATATTGTAAAATATATCTAACCATATTATAATTAAACTACGATTTACAATTGTTAATTATACATAGTACCTATAATATTCATCCCAGATAACAAACAATCAAACGCCATAATATTTAAAATATTTAAAAATAAAATTGAGGGGGCCAGTTTGGAGCCACTAATTTTTCTTAGGGGACCAGGCCCCTATGAGTCTTGAGAAAAAGATACAACCGCATGTGACAATACCACAAGGGGGGGGGGAGGGACAAGGCCCTTTAGGGCTACCATTGGTGACGTGCCAGAGACCTCATCAAGAAATACACAGAATAAATATATTGAATTGAGGCATATAGCTGATCAGTATAAATTAAAATATTATTTTATTATTAAAATTCATACCTTTTAATGAAACAATTTGATTATATTTTACTTGTATGACTTTATCGAAAGCAGCATCCACATCATCTAAATTAAATAAAGTAAAATCTTCCACATTGCACAAAGACTGAGAAAAGAAAATCATGATTACATTTGATACTTTCAACACACAACATAAAATGTATTAAAACTATCAGTTTAAAACCTTACTTGATGTAAATCATACATAAACATTTGTCCCATTTGATAAACAGGTATAGTAGCATAGACAGGGCAGTTTAAACCACATTTGCCGACAAGGTACGGCAAAATTCCAAGATGAAAACGATCTGGGTGGGATAGTAAAACTGCATCTATTTGATGGATGTACCTACATACAGATAGCATATTTTAAATGTTAAAGTTCTCTTTCGTACGTTAGTTTAAGAAGAAGTTTTATCAACCTTTTTAATTTATTCACAACACCCATGCTAAAACGTTCATCCCATCCACAGTCCAACAAGAATTTAAACTCGTCAATTTGTAATAAATAGCAAGGTGGTGATTCATCATGCGCACCCGACAAGGTATAAAATTTTATAATAGATGTCATATTATCGAAGACGACAAGAGTATAATTGTCATTCAAAATTCAATTCAGTTATTCAAAATAGCTACTTCGGACAACGAATAGCGACTAGTAAATACTGGATAGTGACATCAGTAATTAGTATTTCACGAAACAAACGTGGTTATAATTATAGTATAGATTTTGAGAATTGTGAATTCTAGATCTTGCGTTCAATATCTACAGAAAACTAAATAATAACTTCATAGCGAAATATACGAAGACGAAATAGTAGCTTGACGTGCAGACTGCAGGCGGCAGTTAGCGACGATACGGCTCCGTATCTTAGTTCGTTCCTATCGGAGTGGGCGGTTTAATCTACCAATTGTCATAGAACAATTTATATGCTATCGTTGAACTTGCATTCGTAGCATTTGACATTAGGAGCATTTGACATTCGGAGCAATTCAGCAATATTTTGTTCTTATGTTCGATGCAGACAATTTAGACAACCATAATAATTAATAATAGTTAATAGGTCTACAACTTACTACTACGGTTCGAAGCATTATTTTATCGTGTCATCAGTGCATAAATCTATTAATTAAGTTAATTTAATTAATAGGTCTATGCATTAGTGGATTATTGTAGCAGTGGTAGCAACCTTGATTCACAATTGGGTACCACGATGCTGGGCCCGTCGTTATCATATTCGTTGAAGTATTATCAACACATTTTTGTTATCAAATATTAACAAATAGTTCCATCATTCATTAATATTATATTTATTATTCCTTGTCATTTATATATTAGGATTTAGGATTTAAATTGTATTCAATTTTATAACAGACTAAAAATAAAAAGTCCAAACTTACTAGATATGAACAATAACAGTATTATGGAATGATGCATGAGACTTAGAACATAAATTATATTTAGTATAAACACACGAAGAAGAATTTATTATTATTTTAATAATTGTTCAAATATTTTTGAATTGCATTGGTAACAATTTTTAAAATCATGAGTTTCCAATTGAAAAAACCAAGTACAGTTTTAAAACATCACAGTTCTATTGTGGAGAAAAAAGAAACCGAAGAAAATCCTTCTACACAAATATCGTTTGGTGAATTATCTTCACAAAAAGAACAAAACAAAAAAAGCGGGTAAGTGGGTCATTTAATGGATGTGTTAAATTAGAATCCAATGATTTAAAATCATTGTATACAAATAATGATTCTAAGAGAAGACAGTCTATCAGCCTATAATATCACTAAGTATATTTTATGATATTATTGTGTTTAAAGCAATAATAATAGGCATTAGTAGTTACTAAATTAATGTTTAAAGAAAAATACATTTTCAAATGCCATTGTGTGAATAAAATATAATAACACACTCTAAATCTCAGTACTCACGAAAAATACTTTTTAATTGCAACAATTTAACTTAAATCGTTATTCTTGGTTTTAAAATGTCATTTCCTCTAAATTTGAACTGAAAATGTCTGTAGAAAAGAACTGTGTTTATGTATCTTTTAAATTTGTTGGTTACAGTATGAACTATTTATGAGAATTCTTATTTCTAATTTTCAATTCTTAGCTAGAAATTGCACTTTCTTAAGTTTAGTCTGCTGTTATAACTACTTATGAGGAACCTTGTATTGAATTATCAAGTATTTTGAAAAATTTGGATTGGCATTTATAGAATAAAAACTAAAAAACTTGAAACTCGAAAATGCCCATTTATAACTCAAAATGAGTCAACATTTTATTATGTACGGAAAATAAAAAGTAAACATTTGATGAAAACTTCAAGTACCTAAGATGATTATTTTATAACAAAATAAGAAATTCATTGAATGAGAATTTGTAAAAAAATGAATTTGTCGTTCCAGTAAACCTTTTTTTTGTTAAATGTAGGAAAATTGAATGGAATTTATTATAAAATGTTCAAAGCTGAGATATATAGTAATATTTGTATGATTTTTTCGAAGTAATTTGCCAATTTTTGTGATTTCGATGAATTTTGCCAAAATTTTAAATTTTGTGGATTCCTATACACTCAACTTTTTTTCATTAGAAACAATGGAGTACATTTTGTTATTTTGTTACATTTTTAAGTTTTTTGACCAATAAAAATTGTATGGTGCATAGAAATTAATAATATAAACATTCAGTGATAATTTCATCTATCTACAGGTTTAACTGTATTTTTTTTTTTTTAACTGGTTTTGCATAAAAATATTACGCATCTGTTTTTTTCTTAACTGTTTGTTTGTTTTTCCTGGCGCTTTGGAAAACTGTTAGGAATTTTTCATTACCTCTCTAAAGTACCAATTACAATCTAATTATTAGATTCACTTTCCTAGTGAGTATTTATTATTTTTACTTTAAAGGTGATGATGACTGGCACAAATAAAATAAATAAAAACTACTTGTAAAATCAATACATTCATTATCTGCTTAGAAACTGAATGGACATAAGAAGTAAGCAATAACTAGGTAGCGTCCAGAAATTTTATTGTCAATAAAAAGCATATCATTTATATTCTTTTAAAACTATATATTTTTTTTATTATACAGTAATTGTGTCAAAAGTTACTATAATTATACAATTATTTTGTAAAATTATTAATTGATCTATGAAAGATATGGAATCAGTGGCGGCGTAAGAAATTTAACTTTATTAGTCCCACTCACCTACCCAAAAAATTTAAGGGTTAATGTTTAAGGTTTAGGTTTGTAAAATTACCTACTCGGCTACTCATCTATGTTTCATTATTCCATCCTAGACCCCTAGTCAGTACGCAAGCCACTGACTTGAGTCCCAGGAATCAAAACATTTGCTTTGTGATGCCAATGTATAGAATTACACTAATATAATACATTTATTTATCCTTATTAACTGATATAAATATATAAAAATGTATCAAACAAAAATGTTGGTACCCAATTCAGCTATTTCCAAAATTCCAAATATTATAACATGATACATTTGACGTAAGATTATATAAATTTGAATTTAGATATTGTAGTCCTGGACATACTTATGAACTATATTTTGATGTATATATTTTTTATTTTATTTCAGTGCATTTAAAAGTTATGTTATTGATTCAATTACACCTGGATACATGACTTATGAACAACATCAAACTACATTGATTGAAAAGTGTAAGTATGATAACCAAACAAATCTGAGTACCTATGATAAGTAATAAGTACCTAATAACCAGGGCTTGGGACTTTATGCATTTGCATATTTGTTCAGTAAGTAAATAGAATAAATCTGATCCGGTACAAATTTGTGTTGTGGTGTTTGGAGTTGAAAGTTTAAAAGTTTATTGTGCATAATTTGGATTTTTTTCTACACATGCAGATTTTTAAGATATATTGATTTTTATTACATATTTTAATATAATCTTAGATTATTTACTCGTGAATCAATTTTTTAGTGAATTAGTAAATTAAAAATATTAATGTAAAGTATTCATTTTTTATGCGTTATAAAAGTTGTATTTAGAAAACAAAATATGCCTTGGTACAGAAGAGTACAACAAAATCCAAAAACTTTCTATTTAATACTGGCCTTTTTTAAAATAATATAGTATGTTTAAAATATAAATGTTTATTAGTATGTGCAAAATATGTTTTTTTTAAATTAAATTTGCATATGTTAATATTTTTTGGTGCATATGTATGATCACATTTTTATGATTGTGAGCACATCAAGTACCGAACCCTGCTAATAACCATCCTATGGCTCGTGTTTATTAAACATAAAATCAAAGGTTAGGTTAAATTGAGAACATAAGATCGATGAGTTAAAAGTTAATATAGAAAATTAGATTAACTAAACTCAGTTTAAAAAAAGTTAATCTACTTTTTTGTATGATTATCAATTATTTAAAGTAGCTATACACCTACCATTTAATAATTAATAACCAAACATTTTAGGAATATTAATTTTTAATATTAAATAGCGATTTAAGGTCATATAATATTATGTATAACTAAATTATTTGTTATTATATATATATACATAGTAATTATATAAATTATTATTTCATCAAGATAAATAACAGAAATGTTTGTATTATTTTTATTTGTATATTAATATTTACTTATAAAACCATAAATACGAAAAATTTAAAAAACAGTTTGACTTTATCTATTATTTTAAAATCAACTGACAAAAGCTAAGTTATTTCAACTGTCAATTAAACTAGTTGAGTTAAAAAGTTTTTAAAAAATTAACTTTTTTATTAATTAATGCCCACTCAGCATAAAATACAATTTGAATTAAATTTCCAGTAAATGTATGTACATTCCATTATTCTATTTTAGCATCCAAAAAAATTGAATCAAGTAATACAGTAAAGAAAAGCTTAAACCAGCCTATAATAAGGATGCCGGAATCTCAAAATCCAAACAAAGTGAGTACTGGTTCTAATGTTATAGAATAATAAATTGTAGTATGAAGTTATATTACATAGGGTCGTGTTATAGAATCTACTGTTCATAGCTACCTTACATTTATAATATTAATTTGATGCCAAATTAATTATTTTGATTTTCAAATAATAAACTTTCCAAAACAAGAAATAGGTTTGGATTTTAAATTTAATCAAATGTTAGGTGTATATAAAATGTATGATAAATATATGTTATAGGGTCAATGGGAAATAATAGATTAGATGAAAATATCTGACAGTAAAATACTAACCTAATTAAATTTGTTATTTTTTTTTTTAGAATGAAAGTATAGATAATGAGACAGTTAGATGTACTACCAAAATTAAAAAAAATTGTTTATCTAGCAGAGTGACTTCTATACTGGAAAACAATGAAATTGCTTATACTGATCTTCAAAGCACTGAAAGAAATCACTGTGGTTAGTGGAATAGTTATATAGTGTCGAAGCTAAAAAATACAACTAAGTATTTCGTCCGGATGCCCTTGGATTGAAATGGGGTTTTGGGGAGATAAAAGGGTCAACTTTTTGTAACAATTTAAATAGGTAAAACAAACATTTTCAAAAGCATTTATAGTTTTTGAAATATTGAGTACCTATTCTTTAGTAGAAAAATTTTTCCTTTATATTTGTGTAGTAAGTATTATCTATAAATGACTAAAAGTTCTGTAATTATTTTTATAGATCCAAATTCATCAAAAGAGATTTTGTTTAATGATGAAAATATTAATGAACTTGATGTTACATCTGTCAGCGTAAGAATTAAAAGTCTATTTAATTTACAAATACAGCCGAGTTACAATAATTTGAAAAACTTCTAATTTGTTTCTTAAGAGAATGTTGTACCCTCATATTATGTTTATGTCTTACTCACATACAATAACAAATTTTTGTTTACCAGTTTCAATAGTGTGCTTTTAGTTTTGATCATTTTAAAATGTGCAGTTTCAAAAAGGTCAACTTTCATTTAAAAATAATTATATCAATAAAAGCCTAAGTGGGGCCCTAGATAATAATCTCATCTTTAAATTGTATAGTAAGTTAATTTACTCTAATATCGAAACTAACTGCACACTATTGAAACTGGTTATTTGTTATGTTGTATGTGTGTAAGACAGAGACAACGCATACAGCTCAACGTCCCATTTACCTTGAAGTGATTATAATAAGTTGTCATATAAATCCAAATATATAAGTATAATTTATTTTTATTCTGCTTGATATTTGAATTATTTAACTCGATTGTAATATTACTGCGTTATAAATATTTGAATAACATATTTGTTTCAGACTGTTGCAAAACTTGAAGCTCATATTAAAAGTTTAGAAAAAATAGAGTATGAAATGTTGCAAAAAGTATTTAACATGTTTGTAAGTATACCAGAGAAGTTAGCTATTAATATACCTGGTCTTCGAGATCCTTCATCTTTGCCCCACCTTAAAAAAGTTCGGCAAAAAATTAAGAATAAATTAAAAGTCGCTAAAGCACAATTGAAAAATCAACAAAAAATGCCAAAAGTTGAGTGCTCTTCTGTATTTGATGATATTTTCGTTGCAACTGATAAAGATGAGAGTCATGTAAATAGAATCTCAGAAAACAGTTGTGATGATATTCACATAGTAAATGCTGAAAAATTATGTTTTTCAAACAAATTGAAGAAAACTTCTCAAATTAAACCATTACTGACTCAAAATAAAGTCAAAAACTTACCATGTACTGTTACATCAATAAAAAATAATTCAGAAGAAAATAATTACAAGCCTGATATAAGCTCAAATTTGTATTGTCAGAAATCTACTTCTAGTATTCAAACAACAAATGAATGTATGTATAATTTTGTATAATTTGTCATTATATTTTGAAATAACTAATAAGCATTTAAAAAATTTCATGTTGTTTTTCAGTAATAAATGTTTGTACAAATCGACTGATTCAAACAGATCAAGTAAATACCAGCCATAACGAGGATCAATATTTTAGTCCAAACTCGTCCATGACAGAGTTCACCAAAACTGACTATAATTTTTCTTGGGAGCTTTTAGCAGTATTTAAAAAAACTTTTGGACTTCAACATTTTCGCCCCAACCAATTTGAAGCAATCAATGCTGCTTTACTTGGTCATAATTGTTTCATTTTAATGCCAACTGGTGGTGGAAAATCATTATGCTACCAATTGCCTGCAGTTATATCAAAAGGTATAACTGTTGTGATATCACCATTAAAATCATTGATTATTGATCAGACTCAAAAATTAAAATCTCTTGATGTAAGTATTCATTTGGTAAATTCTACTTGAGACATTTAAGTCTGAAATAAATGTTTATTTAATGTAATCCAGGAACTTTAAAAAATATTTAGTATATTTATTTGCAATATTTAATCATTTCTTATGAAATAATTTTTTTGTCAACAGATATCAGTAGCTCACTTATTAAGTAGTGTTACTCCAGACGAAGAAAATACAATTTATTCTGAACTTTGGAGGGCTGATCCAGGTATATTATAGTTTAAATGATTATAAAATGGGAGTGTAGTGATACTTATATCTATTTTTGATAATTTATAAATTGAGTATTGTACAGCAACATATATATAGAATATATATTATGATTTATAATTATTTAAGGATATTAATATTTTTGATATATTCCTGTCTTAGGTTTAAAACTGCTGTATGTTACGCCTGAAAAAGTTGCAGCAAGTAGTAAATTAACACAAGTTCTAAACAATTTGCATTGTCGAAATTTACTAGCTCGAATAGTTATTGATGAAGCTCATTGTGTGTCCCAGTGGGGTCATGATTTTCGGTTCGTATTTATTTATTCTGTTGTTCAAAGTAATTTTAGTATACTCAAAATATTAATTTATGTTAAATTTAAATTTTATGTAAATTAGACCAGACTACAAACGATTAGGTGTATTTAAACAAAATTATCAAAATGTTCCAATAATGGCACTAACAGCTACAGCAACTCAACGTGTCCGAAAAGATGTTCTACATCAGCTTAATATCGAAAAAACAAAATGGTATTACATTTATTTAATTACAATTTTAACTTGATTTCTGAGTAACACATTTCGAAAATCAAAATGAATCTTTTATAACAATGAAACCATTATTATTTTTATCTTCTTACTATTTTTAAGTTTTCATGTGTAATTTGATTTTACAATACATTGAAGTATTTTCTGAGTATTTAAATTAGTAAGACAAGTTCACTTCAGGACAGGTTTTGCAGGGTCCTATGATAGGAATATTTTATGATTAAGCACTTAATGATAAAAAATTGAAATAAAAATGCATTAAGTTCTTAATGAGTCAGGTGGCACTACTGAGTGCCCTCCCCTATCTGTCAATCTCGCTATGTAAATATTATCAAAATTACTTAGTGTACTAAATTGTTGTATAGATTGTAATTATATTTTAAAATAAACAAAAAAAGTTCTTAAAGAAATATTACTTTATAATATATGTCCTATTAATGATGTTTAAAAATAGAAAAATATGTCCCTTTTTATTAACCTGCCATCTGATGTTTGTATAAATTAGTAATTTGACACATAATATTATGATAATTTTTTGACCATTTACATTTTCTTATAAAAATTTTAAATGATTATTATAAAATAAAAAACACCATTCACTACAACATTTTTTGGAGTCCTACTAGTCCATCTGTACTTGCTGTAAGAAACACTATTTTTGTATTGACGAATTAATTATTAAGTAACTTCATTTTTTTTTTGAAATATGACTAAATTAAAAATTGTATTATTATCATCTCTGAAACATGAAATAGATTTTCCTATAATTAGGTTTTCCCGAAATTCTTAAAATAATGTACAAAATTAATAAGATGATTTTTATGTAAATTGTTTATTTTGACGCTACATGGCATTAATACAAATACATTTCTTTAAAGGTTTGTATCCAGTTTTAATCGACCTAATTTAGTTTATGAAGTGATTCCTAAAAAAGGTAAATCTTCATTATTAGAAATCGCCAAACTAATAAAATCAAAATTTGCACGCCAGTCCGGTATAATTTATTGTATGACTAAGAAAGAATGTGATAATACTGCTATTTTAATGTCTGGAGAAGGAATCAAAGCTGTAAGCTATCATGCTGGATTAAGTGATAAGAAAAGAAATGATGTTCAAATGCAATGGACTTCTAATAAATCAAACGTAAATTAAGAAACCTCCTAGATGCTAACAATGAGTGTTATACAGTTTTTGATGTTTTAAATTATAAATTTCAGGTAGTTTGTGCCACAATTGCTTTTGGCATGGGTATTGACAAACCAGATGTACGTTATGTTATACATTATTCATTACCACAATCTATCGAGGGATTTTATCAAGAGTCTGGTAGAGCTGGACGAGATGGTGATGTTGCATACTGTTTGATATACTACAACTATTCAGATATGCATCGTATCAAAAAACTCATTGAGAGTATGAAACAATATTATTATATGTACTATAATTCCTTATTTATTAATTTTTTTCTTTATTCCTTATTTTTTATAGATATTAAATAGTTGATTATAATCCAACACATTTTAGAATAGAACATAATATTGTATTCTATGATTTAGATTAATGGTTATAAATATAAAATAAAGCTTGATCAACAAAATCAAGTATTTAAATAAATATTCATTGTTCACGTTTTAAAATAGGATTTTGTGGTCAAAAATAATATACCCGATTATACTTTGCATTCAATTTTCTAATAAAATATAATCGATTACTTATACATGGAAAAATAAATATAATTTTACAACATTTTACTATATTGTTAATAATTTAAATTTTGTTTTTAGTTGGTGGTGGAGCTACTTATGAAACAAAAAAGGTACGTTTTCATAATCTCTGTAGGATTGTGTCATACTGTGAAAACAAAATGGATTGTCGTCGTGCTATGCAACTTAACTATTTTGATGAACAATTTGATAAAGCACAATGCATTGCTAATGAGAAGACTACTTGTGACAATTGCCGAAGAAAGGTACATTGTTAAATATAATTGAATCTATTAAGTGGAACCATTTTTACAAGTGAAACTAGGCAAAAGTGAATCTTGGTTTGATTATCAGTGAAGAGGTATATTTATGTCTTTTTTCAAGAATAAATACAGCCAACAGATTAGGTTAAGTTACTGTTTATGAATAAATTTATAAATAAATAAATTTGTTATTAATGAATTTTAAATTTCGGCCAAGTTAAATATTATTCAAAATTAGTTTTCTATTTCAGCATTCCATAAAATTAATTGATGTTACGGAAGAAAGCATAAACCTAATAAGGGCCATTCAAGACATTTGCGGTTCTGGCAATAATTGGAAGATTAATTTTACATTCACTCATTTCGTAGATATTTTCAAAGGAAAAAAAACTCAAAAAGTGGTATTACATGGTAAGATTTATCGTTGTTCAACTATTTGATATTTGTAGAATTATTTAAAAATAGAAAAAACAATTATCACAATAATAGGTCATGAACATTCTAATATATTTGGCAAGGCCATACACTGGGATAGAGATGATATAGAACGATTAATACACAAATTAATACTTGAAGGTTATTTGAGAGAAGAAATGGTTGCATTTAAATCAGATATTATGAATGCATACATTCGAATAGGCCCTGAAGCTGAAAAACTTTTAGCTGGACTCGTCAAGGTAATGATAAATTATAAAATAAATATAAACTATGATTTAATAGATCTTTTGAAACTATATTTGTGTTGATAGTTATCACTTAAAGTAAGTCCAAAAACAAATTTGATTGATAGTAATATTGTTAGTATTAAAGATAGCACTGAAAATCCAATTCTTGAAGAAATAAAAGAAAAATGCTACACAAATCTAATGGAAGTATGCCGTGGCTTAGCAGAATCTTTGAATATCAATACAAATGCCGTTATGACTATCCAAGTAATTTTGAAACAAATTTCTTAAAGACATTAATTCATTAATTTTTTTCTTTTTGGATTTATGGATTAAAATAAAATAATATTATCTGACTTAATAGTTTAAGAGTGAAAGAGAACTATGTAAGTATTTCATAATATTAAACTAATAAATAAATTACTATTTTAGGCAATTCGTTCAATGTCACAATTGATGCCCACTAATGAAGATGACATGTTAAAAATTGATGGCGTTACAAAATCTAATTTTGAAAAATTTGGTCAACCCCTATTAGAAATCACACAACAAGCAGCTGCAGAAAAGTCTGGTAAAGTTCATTAGTTATTATTTACATTGTCTCAAAAGATTAAAGAAAGGCATTTACACTTTAATTCGAATATGGAATTTCAAAACATATTTTATTATTAATAAGAATACCATTGCAAACTATTAGAATTTAAAAATTCAATATTTATAAATACTGTTTATTTAAGGATAAAATGTCAATAAAATTTACGTTTAATACAATAGCAATTAGAAGCACTGAAGTAAATCAAGACAGGTATAGCAATGGAGATAGTCAAGGAATGAATGTCGATTCTCCATATTATGAAGATATGGTCAACAGAATGATGGAGACTAAAAGTTTAAGAGGAAGAAAACGAAAAACAACTTCTTCAACTAATAAAAGAACTAAACGTTTTAAAAGGAGTAAAGGAAAAAAGTAAATAACAGTTTTGTATACACTAATTTTATTTAAAAGTATTATTAATAGTGTATCGAATGTTAGTTATATACTTATAAACAATTTAATAATATATTATATCATCATCCAATGTCTGAACTTATTAACAATTGAAATTTATTTAAATAATTTACTCTCAGGGGTGGGGGGTAACACTACAGTTAATATAATATTAAATGTATTATTTTACATAATAATATGAAGTGCACATAATACATTTATACTATAATACGAATTATTCTATTTTATTGATCTTATTAATTATAAAAAATCAAAATCTATCAAGCTAAAATTGTTTTTCCAATTTAAGTATTGAAAGCCATGTCTATTCTAAGAGCATTAGACAGAACCATAATATATTTCTGATTTCCCCTCATGAGCGGTAACACAATTAAAAGTCTGAGACATTGTCAGAACCATGTATCATAGGTCAAGACCATGCTTAAAATAATAACTGTCAATTGATTGTATAATTAATACATTTTCATATTTATTTTTTTCTGACAGGAAGAACAGTTCCAAAGGATCATCCAATTCTACAATGGCAAAAATACGTAGTGCTGCTATTAAATTGAGTGCTAAATTACGTCCAACTAAGAAACCAGGATTTTTACCAGTGCCAAAACAGGCGCCAACATAGAAATTAGTTGATAATTAAAAAGAAATGTGTACATTGTATACAGAATATAAGAAATTTTTTTTGTTTAAAATCGTAATAAATTGGTCTTCAATTAAAACATGGAAGACAAAACATAATATTATATGTTAGCATTGATTAATTTATAAGCAGCCCCAAGACTGTGATTTTAATGCATTTGCATGTTTTTTTATTACACTGTACAATAAAATGAATTCGGCCAAAATTTGTTTTGACTTATTTCTAATTCATATACCAAATCTTATTTAGAATATTTCATGGATTAGGGCATATAAATGCATGTTGTAATAATTTTTTGTACAAATGCTTTTTTCGTGATTTTTACATTTTTTCAGTCAATCTGTTCTAAATTGACATTAAATTATCAAATGTATAATTTACTCGTATATAAACTATGACTTGTATAGTTTCATGGAAACTATTCTATTTTTACTCGGGGGCTTAATGTGTAGTATTGACTGAAATTTTACAAGATATTTCGACTAAGTTTAGTCAATTAACAGGTGCAGCTGGAACTCCTATTAATAACAAATAACAAACAGTTCTCAACATAAACAAAGAATTTCAAATTATGTGTAATATTTCAAAAATATTAACCGGTGAAAAAGAGAAAGTAGGTTTGGATTTACCAGAAGATTTTGCCAATAGGGACATGATGTATTTCATGTTGGCCCCATTAACTTTGTCAGACGTAGAGCGCTCCTTTTCTTTTTATAAAACTATGTTAGCACCAAACATTAGGTCTTCCAAGTTTGAAATCTAAAGAAATCATTGATTGTACAGTGCAATAACTACTTTAAAGGTAAAATATTATCTATTTAAAGCATATTTCTTTTCAAAAAAAAATGTATACGAAGATCAAGACTAGTGTCCCCATAATTCATATACTCATATCAATGAGTAACAATACTAATATTTAAATTAAAATTAATAAAAAATTATAGTGATAAAAATAAAAGTTAAATTTGTATGGTTTTATGCATATTTTTGATAAATAAGAGCATATTTTGTCAGTTTTTAGTGCATTAAATTCACAACCTTGTATATTATTTTAAATTATAATAATATACTATATAGTATTATATCATACTATGTATAGTTATTATTTAATGATATTAGGTGTGCTAATTCAGCCAAGAGTATTAATATAGTTACAAATTACTTAATAAACAAAAATTAGTTATTTTTAAGGACATTTCTGACCATACTTTTATCCCCCCCTCCCCTTGACCAGTGTACAACATAAATTATTTTCATTTAGCGTAACTTATCTTGTGTCTTAGCATTGATATTAGTGTGAGAGATTGAACAATTATCAAACTAAAAGGTATAACATTAACTTGCACCTTATAGGCTTTTATTGATGTTATAATTTCAACGCTTGTTATGAGGATTTTAAAATTATAATATATTACATGTTTGTAACTTGTAACTTACTGTTTAAAACATCAATACAATTCTATAGTGCCCTTCATAATATTCTTACCTAAGTGTGGTTATAGGTCAATTCATTCCAATATTAAAGCAAACATCACAAGATTGGCTCTACTGAATGAAAATTTGCTACATTGCAAATTGGTTAGAGAGAAAACAAATATACTGAGCTTAATTCTTTTTATAGTAAGGGGTCTTTTTCAAAATAATTTAGGAAGTTTGAAGCAGGAAACACACTAATATAAAACATTTTACTCACATAAAAGGTTAATTTTAAACAATTGTATTCAATACAAAGCTAATTGTATGATCACATGTTTATTTCAAAAAATTGTTGTTATAAAAGTCATGAGTCTCTAGGACGAATTGTACATTTTTTTTTTTGCCTTAATACAAATATTGTTGGTTGAAAACTCTTATATTATAAATTATTATCATAATTTTAAGTACTATAAAATATTAAATGTAAATTTTCTAAATAGGTGAACATATAATATAAGAATAGGAACAGTGGACAGTGGACGTATATAATATTAACATCTAATATCTTGTAGCATGTAGTATATAGTGTAAATGATACTATAAACATTAACTATTTAATAATGTTTACAAAGTGTATAAAATAGCCTAAAACATTGAATTACATGGTGTCTGTCAATTATTATACAATATATTAAGTTAAAGTATTGGTATAAAACCGATGTATAAAGTCTTGACCTCTATAAACATCTGATATTTCATCATTATGTATACATAATGAACTTTGGTGATAATTTTTAATCAAATATTTTACTTTTATATAAAATTATAGCTTTGCCTACTTTTCATTGAGTTTCCTATAGTCGTTATACTATTAGTTTTAATAATAACTGTAGTATTACACCACAATACATATTTTTATCAATAGTTACACAAAATAAATGTTCAATAAGGCACATAATATTATAAAGATAAAACAAGTTTGAGCAATGCTAATTTTGTAACAAAGTTTTTTTTTAAACTTAACATGCTAAATTAAAAAGAATTTTTCCTAAAATAAGAGATTTCAAAATAGTTATTATATTTACTTAACTCAATCTAAATAAAATAAAAAAGTATATGTTTAACTTTGTAGTTTAAGTTAATTATAATTTTTTAATAATTCTAATTTGTGTTCAACACTATCTAGTTCTATAATTAATGAATCCAAGTATTTATAGTATTATAAAAAATATTGTTAATTAAACTTGATAAATTTTAAATAAACATATTTTACTGCTTATAAAACATCACTATACCCTAAAGAGTTTAATATAGAAATCATTTACTTTTAGTTGGTTGTGTTAAATTACACAATAGTTAACGATAAACTTAAGACAATGGAGTAAAAAAAGTTTCCTCTAAATAATTGTCAATATCAGATTTGTAAACAGCCATATATAGACCTTTCGTTTTAAACTAAATGGGTAATTTTTAATGGCACCCACAACTTTTAACTATCATGTTCTTATACTTCTTTAATATAACATTATTATCTTCCAAAAAAAATAGTACAGCTTGTTGAGCCATTTTTGTTGGTGCACAACAGGGTTTAGGGATCTGTATAGGACTCATCAAATGTACCAATGTCTGAACGATTGCATGGTTTGTCGCATTCATATGAGCATTGAGCGGGAAATTACACTCACCGGTGCAATAAAATGCTCCATAACCATCGGGTGCTATTATCCAATCCTGAAAAATATATTTATAAATATTTTAATTAAGTTTATTTTTAATGGTCTTCTTAATTGCAAATAAAATAAACAGCAATGTTCAGTTTCAAAACATAGTTTGGAACTAAAATTACAATGATCTAATTTCTTAAGACAAAATGTAATGTATTTAAAACATGTGAAATAGTAGGTACATTAAATTTTGCTTTTAATGCAACACCACAATTCTAATATTTTAAACTTAGGCAAAAATTTGAATTCTATCAATTAAAACTTCATTTTTAACGTTATACATTAGGATAAATATAATAAATCTAAAATCTGAAATTATCAAAAAAAAAAAAACTTTACCTGCCATTCCAGATCTTTGAAGCTCACATATAATGTTTGTATTTGACAACTTCTGGATTGAAACCCTTCTGCTATGTCTGAAATATAACATTAGTATTTGTACCATTATGGCATTAATGTTTTCAATTTCATATACATGAACAATACTAACTACATTATCAACTGCATTTATAATTAAAATGATAAAACAAAATTTGTTTAAGAATTGGGTATTTAATAGAAAAAAATGTTTTCTGCTTGAAAACAATGGTGAAAATCAAATTAAAAAAATCATCCTAAACAACTTGATTTTATCTAATAACTGTTATATTTTATTTCATTCGTGTTTTTTAGCTTATAGATTGACACAATTTTCTAAAAATAAATTGCTCTTTGAAATCATTTTGTGTTCAATTAAGAATGGATGGTCAAAAGTGATAAAAACTTATATAAATCTTGCTTACTTTGAAATGGGTTTGAGTTGTAACTACTTTCAATAGTTTTCCTTCTTCTTCGTCTATAATGTTTTTGAAGAGAGGGACCACCAACTATATTACCTCCATTTCTGGACTTCAAATAAACAGCCATAAATGGTTTTTTTGCTTCAGATAATTGATGTTTGTCAGCCCAAGTTACCATACCAATTTCTTCTGGTTTGATTTCATGATCTAATGAGCATATGAAACAAGTAAAATTAAAATAAATATTTTTTTCATGGGTAGTTGTTTTATAAGGATTAATTATAATTTAACTAACACATCTAAATCTTAAAATAGAAGTAAATCTATTTTTTGTTTCATACAAGAATAGCATCAGATGATGGCTGGTTTTATTTGTTTAACATTTTTAGAACTATATAAATACAATAGTTATATTGGTAAAAATAAATGTATTGTACTGGCTGTATACAAACATTTTGTAACATGAAAGTTTTTTAAAATACCTATACACTATGTGTCCTATTTGATTAATTTATGGTATCTATGTAACCTAATATAATACATACGTTATACATAGGCCAGTTATTTTTTCTTTATCATAAATTTATATAGTCATAAATCATTTTAATTTTTAGCAAAATTATATATTATTAGCTTTAATTAATTCAAATAACTTCAGATTTTTTGTTAGTACCATAACTACAATTTTCTTATCACAATTATGGGAACATCAATATTCATTATAACATTATAGACTAAAAAAAATTATTTAATGCCAAATTTGCAAGTTTTACCTGGATTTTCATGAGAATGTACAGAAACATATAATCCTCGATTGGGGTATAAATAATGGGTCCATGAAACTAAAGCACCAGTTGCATTAAATCGAAGCCATCCATCATAATCTGTTGTTGTGTTTTGGGAATCCACAAATTCTAATTCTTTTTCTCTATTAAATAAATAAATAATTAGAAATAAGAATAAATAAACAAAATTAAATGTTACAACTATTATTTACTTACCCATTTTTTGTAATTAAAACTTGATACAAAGTTACCAAATACTTCTTAACACTACTTGAACTACCAGATTGGTACAAATGAACTTCAGCTGAAGTAATCATATGAGTTTCTTCAGGTGGTACATCATTTAATTCAAATAAAATCCGTTTACCATGTTCGTGCCGAACATTACTAACTGGAGCTAAAATTAAATTAAGTACATATTATGTAATATGTAACTAAATCATATGTAAATATATATTTAACTTTAAGTAAATTATTTAATAAAATAATGCTTGATTTATAGCAATTAAACATAATATTAAGAGGATGCTGCACCCGCATATGTTATCCCCATCTTACAAATGTAAAACTTAACAAAAACCGTCCTTCGCAGGTAAGAACCACTTGGCTGTGTAATAATTTTTACACTATAAACAGATGGATATTTATTGTGCAATGTTGTCTTTATTTTTTCAATATTAGAACTAAAAAAAAGTTTTTCAAGTAAGAACTTTATTTGTATTTGTGAAATCAAAAAAATTAAAAACAAAGTTGCACAGAGTCAATATTCTCTTCATTCAAGTGTGAAAATGTTGTTGTTTAACTTGGACTACAGCCTGAGAGGTCATTCCCGGGTGAAACAGTTATTGCTACGTTGTACACATTTAAGATGGAGACTATACTTGCGGGTATAATCTTAAATTAGATCAACTCAAAAAAGTTAGTCACTATAATGCATTTATTAATTGTTTATTTAAATTAGCTTTTTTGTTGGTTAGCCATTAATTTGAAATGGTATGTCATGTCTGAACATTTTATCATTTCAATTTATAATATTTAATGATGAGATTAATATTCATAAAACAAAATAAAATATGAATATTAGTGTATTCTTAGTGGCATACTTCAAGGCCTCACAAATAATTAAAAGTTATATCAAGTGGACACCACACCAGCATATTTGCCGCCTTTAAAAAGTGTAACATGACCAATTGTTTGTTCTGAATAATCTTCTGTGCAATTAAAAACCCTCACTAACTTGCTTTAAAATTAAAATATAAAAAAAACCCAGCGATGTTTGTTATATAATGTTCTTATTTCTAAATTGTATAATAAGTCAATTAGCTCCAATATTAATCATAACAGAGTTAAATAGATTATTCAGAACATACAATTTGCTTTGTTACACGTTTGTATGATGGAGACAGCACAGGTAGGTGTGGCATCCTATTTAGTGATTTTATCGTGACATTAAAATAAAAATCAGAGAAACTATCATTTTTTAATCAAACAAAAACTTAAAAAGTTAGTTTTTAAGTTTACTATGTTATTGTTTTAAATAAATTTATAAGTAGGTAGTAAAACAGCTATTATTATTAGCCTCTAGCATCACTGTTTAATAATTTGATTCAGGAGTTACCTACACAGGGTATACATTTGTGAACCTAAATTCCGTATTATAATTTTTGGCCCGCTAGAAACAAACGAATTGAAGATTTAAGGCAGTGCTGCAATAGTTAAGAGCTAAAAACAAATAAACAAATTTAGCAGTGAGGATGGCTTTTTAAATATTTAATACTATTACAACTTCTCCCACTCCTTGTCAAGTGTAACTTGAATCAAAGTGTGGTAGTCTAATCTCCTATTGTGTCAATTAGCCATCAGTGATGCAAAATATTTAAAAAAAAAATTGTGGCTGGTTCAATGTTTATGCGTACCTACCAAAAAAATAATAATTGAAATTACGTCCCTAATTTGATTTCTGTATTTAAGAGAGCCTCCGCCTCCTATAGGCCCTAGAAGTTTAATGCTAAGCTTTGTCTATCCTGATAACTTATATACTTACTACTTAAAACCAATGAGTGCTTAACATAAAGCGAACCTAGGTACCACTAAAATGTATGGATAATTTTAAACAACATGTTCATGATTATTATAACGTTCAGATTATTAGTACTTACAATGATTTGATAGATATAGTGTGACAATGACATCACTGTCTTGTACGGTACGATCATCGTATTGACCAACATCTGAAACACTTCTTGGTTTTCTGTCATGCAAACCATCCTGTTGTATGGATTTATAGACATCAAACAGAAACTGTGGTGCCGAACCGTCCAGGTTCTTCGGAGATTTTCGTGGTATTTTCGGCACACCGAACATGGTCAGTATCTCTTGTTCAACTTCGTTTCGCTCCTCAACCGACATGAGATCTTGCTTGACCGTCTGGACACCGTTGTCCATGTACACACCGGTTAGTGATCCGGCGGCAACCACACTGTACGCCGATATGTAGAACAGTACGGTCAACGTTAACAGACATTTTTTTTCGTCCATTTTTATTGTTGTTGTTATTCACGAATTATTATCTAGACATGAAACTAGATGATCCTATCGTTCGGCACGGGTTAGCAACGCTAGAAAAGTCGAACGACGATCAGGACTCGATCCGATTAGCCCACGGCCGATTGTGGAATGTCTGTGAAAGATAGCTCCGGCGTAGTTACTAGTTAGCTCCTATACCACTGATAAGAAATTGGTTGATACCAATTATATTAAGTTGCATTTACTAAATTTATGAGGGGCAATTTAGTAAAACGATTTTAAAACAAATAATATGACTTGAGATAAGTTTGTAAGTGAAGTAAATTTTTTTAACTGTCGTAGATGACAATACATTCACTATTAAAATAACATAAATGTGTATTATTTATTAAGGTTCTCAGTCCATACTGTGGTACTATAGTGGTAACTAGGTGCTTATAGGCTAAAGTGGTAGTGGTAACGGTGGCGGTAAAATGAAGCCGTATACAATACTTACCGCCACTGTGGCACCACCACCAAGACAATAGAATTATACCGCCACCGCGGCAGTGTGACCTAAAGGCGACTCATAATGGAATTTGATCTCGGCTGTTTTTCCAACATAATAAACTTTTCTTATACAAATTGCAAACTATCCTAATATTCAGAGTAAATTAGACTTCTGAAAATATATATGAATCATATTTACACTATGTTTTAAATATTTACGTATTCATGACGTATTTACGTCATGGCCATCATAATTGTCTGTTTGTATACTTAATTTGAAATAAACATAATATTACGTACCTATGTGAATAAAATAAAAGTGTACAAATATTTAGGTACATTATCTTGTGTACCTGCTAAGAAACTAAAGAAACCAATGTATATTATGATATAGGTCATTAGTCATTACTCATTAATCTCTACTTTTGAGTTCAGAAAAATATGTCAATACGTTTCTTAATTAAATAAAATGAGAAAATGTAATGTTCAGTGTATCTCAAACATTTATTGTAAATTGTATCAACGTATAATTAATTCAACCAAAGTAACTGTTTGGTTGTTTATATAGTTTATTATTTAAAATTATGTAGGTACTTTAGTTTTTTTAAACCTTTATAATATAGCATACGTTACACGCGCAGTAGCGTACCTATGATTTTTTCACCGGGGGATATACAAATTATAATGCAGTTTATTCAGTATACAGTATGCACATATATTCATATCATTATAAACATGCAATGTATTGTGTACAAAATTTGGTCTCCGGGGGGATGTCATATCGTGACCACCATTTCTCCTCCACGGTAGATACGCTACTGCACAAACGTATATATAATAAAACTACATATATATTAATATAACCAATAGTACAAACACAATTCATAACTGCCCACAATTGCATAGGTAGGTAGTTAATAATTACAACACAGTACATTTATACATTCATGATACAGTCATTTTGTTATAAATACCATAGTAATTTGATTTGAATTGCATTTTTTTTTAAATTACTTAGTTTAACTAGTAAAAATTATACAAAATAAATGAATTAAACTGTTGATTTGAAAAATAATTACTTTGTAATGTTATATTAGTCGAAATAGATAATTTTATTAATTTATAGTTTTTATGCAACTTTGTCAATTTTTACTTCAAATAAAAATGTATTTTAATAATACTTGATGCTCAATCTCCTAAAAACTAATTGAATGAAATTTTAAAAGCTTATTGGCTATTATAACTTATTGGTTGTTACTATTTAATAGTTAATACTTAATAGTATTAGTATATTGTATATTTTTGTTATAAACTTATTTTAGATTCTGAGAGGAGTGATGAATGTATTGAAATACATTGTGATGTGTGTATTGTGATGAGTGTTTTATATTTATTTTTTTTTTTGTATCTGTCATCGTGGTTTTTTGCCATAAAAGTGCTTCAATTTTTTTCAACAGCAACTTTTTCTGGTAGGAAAGTGAATCTAGTTAGTACATTCGACAGGTCGAAATTTAAAATTCTTAATAGATTTCGAAATCAACAGGAAAAACAAACAAAAAATTAAGGAAAACGGCAATTGTTACATAAAACCATTTTTCGAAAAAAATCGAAGCACTTTTACACTGCAAGAAACCGTGACAATAGACACACAAAAAAAAAAAATAAATAAATAAATAAATGAATATAAAAACACACATCATTGTAAAATCAATACATTCATCGCTGAGCTCAGAATCTAAAAAATTAAGAACTGCTACGTAATTAAAATAATATAATAGAACAAAATAATTAAATAAAATGTTTATTTATTATTACGCACTAAATCAATGGTGTCCAATGTCATACACAAGACATCGCTTATTTAAACCTATCAATGCTACTTCCTAGATTTTTTTTTAAATTAATTTATATTTATCCTCATTAATATCGTAGGTACCTACATAAGCGCATAAAAAAAAATAAAATATTTCGTTACCTGCTTCAATGAATATTATCAGTGCTAAAGTTCGAACATAGACCTATAAACTTTTTGGTTTTGGTTTTGAATTATAAAAATAGAGTTTTTGAATATAAATCGTTTACCTCCATAAACCATGGTATTAATGTTATAACTTATATGGAGGTAGATAATATCGACCAATGTTGTTTATTCGTTCGAAATACCTAACGATAATATTTTGTAACTATGTTATTAATTTATAAATTCCGTTATCAGAAAGATCCAATATAAATTAAAAACTATTTTGTCTGAACTCTGAATAAAAATTCACTCCATAAGTCTGGAGTTACCCTATTTCACGGTAGGTATGTTAAGTTACATAACTATGATATTACATTTTAAATGATTCCACTTTTCGTTTAGCAGTATTCCATTGTTATCCCAACCTCTAGCAAATGAAAATTACAATGTCAGAGTCAATACTTTTCACTTCAAATAATCAAATGGTAGGTCAAAGGCGTAACCATGAGGCACTTTAACCTCCCTGTCATAATTTATACACTCCCACCGACAGTAGCTGCATTTATAAATTTTAATTTAGAAAATTTTTAAATTTTTTATTAACGTCTGGGAAATTTTTTTTTCGTTGTTGTCAAACTATATAATACTCTCATTAAATGTGATGACCCTGATCATGACATGGTCAAGTGGTCAACAATCCCTATGCCCGCTAACCGCTTAGAGGGGTCTTGCTAAAAACAAAATTAGATTTATATTATTTTATGATATCATCGTCCTTCGATCTTCATAAGTACGACTGTTGTGTGCTTGTGTCCAATAGTTTCAAGCCCGGATTAAGACCTTCAGGGGCCCAGGGGCCAATACACAGTTGTGCTCCCCCCATCAATAAAAACAATTCTTTAAAATTATAAAAGTAGTTATGCAATAAAACAAACTCAAACCATTTTATTTAAATATGATTATAATAATAATAAATGATAATATATGATAATTAATGAGAATACAAAATATTAAAAACATAATTTTTTATAAATACATATTTACAAATAAAATTAAGTATTGTTTAAGTAAAAGTTTTTTTCTAGCTTTTTGAGTAGCAAATATTTCTAATGTTTTATCGAAGCTTAAATTTTGAAGAACATCATTTTCTGTTGATAAAATCATTAATGATGACAATTTATCTTGTGTTAGACAGTTTAGTCGGTAGGTATCTGAATTCTGAATACCCACGACCGAGACGGTCACGTCATGAACAACTTTTCCCAATTCTATTTTTAAATACAGTGGTAACAAAATATATGCCTATTCCTTATACACACAAACCTGGCTATGACGCTATGTGTCCGCACTTACCATGCTATAGGTGGTAAACACGGTCGACGGACCCCATCGCATGTTAGTTCAAACAAGAAAAAAATTTAAAATAAAAATATTCTTGTAGGTACTAGAAAAAGTGAAAATTTTCACTCGATGTAATTTTAAGCCGAGAAGACTATGGGCCCTTTACACACGTGGGCCCCTGGGACTTGGCCCCTCCTTAATCCAGGCTTGAATAGTTTGTATTCTAGTCAAAGCAAAATTTTGTTTTTTTATGCTTTCAGGATTTATTAAATATAAAATAAATGAAACTGAATTAAAATCAGAAATGTGTGTTGGATAATCAATTTTAAGAAAATATTAACAATTATTAGGGGAATCAAATATTTCTAAAGAGTAGTGCTCAAACATCTGTTTTTTTAAATTTATATAAAATGCTACAGCTATCACTTTCTATTCCAACAAGTTCTGTATCCAGTGATAGAACATTTTCAGCAATGCCAAATCGATTCTGTAAATTGCTTATTATAGCTATTGAAAGAGATTTATACTGAGAGGAGGCTTAAACTGTAATGACTAGTGGATTATTATAATGTTACCCATATAGCTAAATTATTTAACGTTCTTAATTTTAAGAAAATTAAATTAAAAACTTAAATAAATTTGTAACTAAAATAATATATTTTAATAATTTAATGTTTACCTCTTCTTTCTATAGTCTATTAAGATTCATATTAATTGTTGAAACTAAATGTAACACAAAGTTTAAATAATAATAAAAAAAGATTCATATTGTACGCACACTCTATAATAATAAAATAAAATATTGATTGAAACATTTATTGTTAATTAATGTAACAGGTTTTGGGAGGTGTGGGGAGTTCTACCTCCCACATTATATACTTATTATAAAAATGTTAGGGCTGTAGCCCTTCCTAATTTGAAGGTCTAGTTATGCCAATTTGGTAGGTACTGTGAAGTTAATTTTTATGATTTATATTTTCACTTATTCACGGAAATTCTTTTTTTTTTTGGAACTGATTTTCCAATACATCATTCCTCTTGTCTACTAATATCCTAAATAAAATATCAATTATTATTAATATATAAGGTATTCAAGTTATATGACCACCATAGTCCTACTAATAGAAGTTATAGATAACTATAGACAAAACTAAGGGTCAGGTCCATGGCCTAAAATTTTTTTCTAGTTTTGCTTATAACTAACAACTTGATTGTCATTGAGTACTGACGACTGTATGTCTGTATAGGTAAACCTTAACATTTTTAACTGTATATAAAATAATTTTAACCTTACCATTATTAGCATTAGTACACTTTCCAAAACATTTAAATAGGTAAAGATAAGTTGCTTCAAAAATCTATCAAATTATCTACTAGTAACTAAGTTAAATTAAT